AAAGATAGCTTCTTGCCTTTCGGTTTGTCAGCATAAGTGTTTGTTCAACTCTAGAAGCTTCAGTTTGTAGTGGTGATTTTTTTTTTTTTTTCTTTTTAAGCGGTAAAATTTTAGCAATTACAGTCTGTGCCAGAACCCTAAGCCTCCTTCTCTACCCTCAGGAGTTCCTCCCCATAATTGCAGTGCTGAGCTGAGGGAAGCTGCACTTCCAAAAAATGAAAAGGAAACCACTCAATGTGGCTGCTACTTTTCCTTTGTAGCTCTGGGAAAAAAACAAGCACAGTGTGGGAGGGAGGGGCCGTCCTTTGGGGGTGTTGGCTCGTTGCTAATTGCCATCCCCTCCTCAGCCTCCACCCACTGCGCAGTGTGGTTTGGATCCCTTCTGCCCAGAGCTACTGGGATATGTAATAAGAAGCTGTTTTCAAGCTTCTTAGTTAAAACAGGTTCACGCAGTCAGCGCCAGAGCACAGCATCCGCACCCCGAGATGCCAGAATGCATAACTCATCCCAGGGAAGCGATGCCGGGGCACGGGGTCATGGCTTGAGTGGCTGCGCGTTTAGGAACAGCCCTCGCTTCAAGCCTCTGTTTCTTAGTTGTCATTTATTGACATTCATACGCGCGTGAGAAACATTCCCCCACCTCCACCGAACTCCCTTCTGCGTCCTCTTAAGCACGCAGATGATTTTTCAGGGTGAGGTCAGAACCTAAAGCGGGTGGGATAATTTTTAAATAGTATTCTGCGGACTTCAAGGAAAGCGGTTGCGCTTCAGGATCTAAGAATGAGTCCTTCCACCGCTTACTAACTCTAGGATGGAGCACAATGGATCTGAGCTTCTGAGCCTCTGTTACCTCATCTATAAAATGGGAGCAATAATCTACCTGCTCAGGTATTATGTGGATTAAGCGGGATAACGCTAACGCCTTGGCCCAGTCTCTAGAATACAACTGCTAGCCAAGAAATGTTAAGTTGCTTCCGTGCCCCTCTTCCCCCATATTCAACCTCTCCCCCCAAGAATAAACAACAACATCGTAACTGACTTATTTCAACATGAATGATTTAAATGCAAACCCTTAAAATAGTCTACCTTAAAGAAACATTAAACCATTTATTTGTAAAAACGTGAAAATTGTACTCTTTATTCTCCACACCCCTGACCATCTTTAAATTCTGCTCAGCCAAGTCAGCAGGCCGAGGGGATCTGGATCCCAGGTGTGTGTTTTGCTCCTTTTACCCAAGAGCATGGGTATTAAAGATCTGTTGCTAAAATCTGAAGTTCAAGAGAATTTTCTGGAAGCAGTTTATCCAAAGGCTCCCCTATCAAACTGCTGATAATGTCCCGTATTTTATTTATGCTGAGTGATTATAGCTATTCCCAGCTGAATGCTTTTCTGATGCTTTGTACGTCATCTGCTAATCACCTCAGAGTCATCTGTGCCCCTTTGCCCTGTCCTCCACACCCCGCAGCTCAGCAGCCACAGGCGCGGCCACGTCTGTCTCCCCCTCCCATGCCACCCTGGCTCGGGCTTCATCTCCTTTCCTGAGCTGCTGCCGGAAGTTTCAGCTCTGCCCTCCAGTGTCCCACCTGTGTCCTCCTAACGCCTGCTGTTCTACTCCGCAGCCCTGAGGAGCCCCGAGGAAACACAGGGCTCCATGACCCAGAAAACTGGGGGCCACCCTACTCTTTCTCCGAGGCCATTGAGATAGAAGCAACAAACAAAACAGAGCTAAAACTCTCTTTAACTTGGTTTAACCTGGTTTCCCGCTTCTCTTCTCCCCCAGCTTATTTGATCACAGACCCTTTTATTTCCTTCCCTGCTGGGAAACTTGAGGTTCAAATAACCCACCTGGGAGGATGCTACTACAGTTTGTTATGGGCTGCCACCCATTTGCTTGTCCGAGCAGCTTTTGTAAAGACTAGGTCGGTAGGTCGGTAAAGACTCCCATAATAACTTGCTGTGTGCCACCCAAAAGGAGGAGGTGGAGCACTGTGTTTCCACATGGAACCGTCTCTAGGATGAATGCTAAGCGAAGAAAGCAAAGTGCAGTCTGTGGTGAGCTATCAATTGCCTGCATATGTTTAGACTAGGTGAATACCCCCGAACTGACAGGCATGTCTGCCTCTGGAGAGGGGCGCTTGGTGTCAGGGAGCAGTGGAAGCAAAGTCTTCACTGTGCACCTCTTGGGAACTTCAGAGCTTTCTATTGATTTGGACACAGCACTAATCTGCTTCAGGCTCCACCAAACTTCACACAGAGAATACTATGAAGTCCTTAGCTCTGCTCATGGCCCTGTTGTTGGCCCTTGTCTGCCACCCAGCTTCTCTCACTCTCGGACTGGGCCACTCCAGCTTTCCTGCTGGCTCTGTCCCGTCTCTCCTGTGACAGATGCACAATAGTGAGGACTTGGCTCATTGGTGCCACTTCTCAGACTTACCCTGCTCCACTTGGGTGCCCATCTCCCACAGAGCCTCCAGGCACAGAATGTGGGATGACCCACCCTTGACTACTCCTCAAACTAACTTGTGAGCCTGGAGGGCCCAGGTCCCTGGGACACAGTGACACCTTGTGCAGAAAGGCCAGGGACTCCAGGATTGAACAGCTGGGATTGAAAATCCCTATCAGCCTGCGTCCTGGGGAGCTTAGCCTTGCACATTTATTTTCCTGTTATTGTGCAGTAGAGGATAATAAGCCCCAGCTCACAGGGTTTGGGTATGTTGCTCATCTCTCTAGAACACCTAGCACAGGCCCATCTCATAGGTGTTCACTCCATACTTGTTTTCTTCCCTTCGCTTCCTCTGCTTTCCTGTTATGGCTAACAACCTATTGTCCTCGTGGGTCTTCAAGTGCAAAGGAAACCACAGAAGGCCAGAAGTCGGACTTTTATCCCAGATTTATGGATGACTGGCTCTGAGAGGACGCCAGGCCCCTCGGTGTCTTCAGGTCTCTTTGTCTAACACAGGATCCATATTTATCTCAACGCAGAAAAGCTTTGATCATCAAAACAGCACGAATGCAAAGGGTTAGCACTGCAGGGTGAGTGCAGATGCTCTCCTGCCCGCCAACTGGCTTATAAGAATATTTGGAAGATGAGTAAGGTAATGTCTTCCATATGCTAAAGAGAAGACAATTTAGCACCATGCAAGGTAGGGTGAAGAAGCCCCCACTCACTCACAGAGTGACCTTGGGCAAGACAGTAATTGTTTTCGGCCTCAGTTACCTCATCAAAAATATGAAAATAATAAAATTCTACCTCACAGGGGTGGCTGTGGGGATCACATGAGGCAATGCATGTGGAAGGTCTTTGTGAGCTGTGAAATGCGCCGCAGTCCCGCCAGCGCGGGCCCTTCATGCGCCTGTTTGTTTATTGTTTCAGCGGAGAGTGCAGGATGTCATCAGCCCCATCGTATTTGAAGCCGCCTACAGCCTGGGTGAGCACGTGACTGGAGAGGAGGACAGGGAACTGCCGGCTCTGACACCAGTGCTCCGCTGGAAAAAGGGACAGAAGATTGCCCAAAAGAATCAGGTCAGAACTTTAAAAGCTCACAACCGGGTCCAAAGGGGGCTGTGACATGTGGCAGGAGTCATGGCCCTGGCTGCCTGGGGGACTGAGGCCAAGGCACACCCCCTCTCTGGGCCTCCCTTTCCTGATCTGGAAAATGACGAAATTTATGTTTTTGGGTGTTGCTTCTAACAACTACATGATTTAAACACATTGAGGTTATTCTCAAGCAATTAGGAAATTATAATCCCTCTGAGGTCATGAACTGACCACTTCGCCCTTGAATTTATGTCCTATTCCTAGACTGTTTCCAGCGCATAGTAGGTGTGCAGTCAGTGTTTTATTGGTGGGGGAGTGAGTGGAGTGGAGAAACATGAACTTCGTCCCACTAGAATTGGTAGTTGAATTAAAAATGCCCAATCCGAGTGTCTCTGGAAGCCGAGGGCACCGTGAGTGCGGGCAGGCCCCTCACCCTGTCCAGTGCTTGTCAGATTCCACGGTGTGTCATGATGGAGAGCTTTAGAGTGGGGCTGGGTGCAGGCTATACGAGGCCACGTGAGACTGGAGTGAGCCTCAGAGCTGATTCTGTGTAGCAGCACTGGCCTGTCCGCCCTGAGCCACCTGTGAGATGTGCAGTGCTGACTACTAGGCAGGAAATATGCAAGGAATCTGTGATTTCCAAGTCTGTTTTAAATCTTTCTTTAACACCCAAGACCGCCACAGATCCAGAGCCCTGGGGAAGGTCAGGCAAAACTGGATTTTGGCTAAACCTGACTCCTGTGCAGGGTGGGGACAAAGCTGTGGAACCACTCGTGGCCCCACCCTCCACTGTTCTGACTGTTCTGGCTTATGAGGAAACCAGCAGATTAGTGGCCCCCTCCTGAAGATTAGACTTGTAAATAGAACCACAGAGAAGTGTTTGGGGTTTGAGATGTCCCTCTAGATGTTCAATTAAGTGGTGATTTTTTTTTTTTTTAACCTAGGCTTTCCTATCTTCTCCCAAAATCTAACCCATGTGGTCTTGGATCAGGTTTTCTAGAAGCAGAGCCTGAGACAAGGATTTGGGAACACCTATTCTAATGAGGCTGTGCTCTTGGGAGAAACCTGTGAGGAAATGAGGGAAGGGGAGGGGCCTGAGCAAGAAAGTGGTGTCAGCTAAGGTCCAGACTTGACCTGAGGCAGGGAACTCTAGGGCATAAATTATATCAAAGAATTGTCTTTTCCTTGAGGTAAGGTGGCTGGCCTTTCATACTCCATAATAGTCAGCCATTGGCTGCCTGTGGGGTGTGGTAGGGGAGTGTAACCCTTCTTGAAGGAGACCTCCTTCAGCTTGGGACAGGTCTCTAGAGAAGGATGCAGAAGTGAGCCATTAGCTGCCTATACTCACATCAGCTGGGGGGTGGGGCTAACAGTGCCCGCTGCCCATATGCACACAACCTGTTGGCAATACTGCCTTTCTGAATGCTGCTTTTGATTTCAAACGTGAGCTTCTTTCAAAACACAAGTACCCTGGAGCATGGCCAGTGTGCCCTGATGGTCTTTGATACTTAGAGCAGGCTCTGGGGGAGTGAGGAGAGAGACCTGGAGGACACTGGGTATCTAAGTGGGTGGGGCAAAGTGGAAGGGCTGGCATGCAGGGGAGGCATGAAGAAGGCGAGGAGAAGAGGAGAGGAGGGTATGATGAAGAAGTAGGGAAGGAAGCCTGGACTTCTACCTGGACTGAGGAGTAACAGTTAGTGTCATCTCCTGATGGAGTGTGAAGAAGAGGTCAGTCTGGGGACTCAGTGAATCTGAGTACTATGATAGTTTCTAGATAACTAGTCTCCTAGTTCCAGTATTTCTCTGCTCTGTTAGGTGGACTCTGCAGGCCTGATTAACTTGTGTTATGGGAGTGGTCCAAACTCAGTACTCGGGGAAATCATTTCAGGGTACTCTGTGCTTGTTCTATCTCTAAAATGACCCAGTAAGGTTGCTGCCTACTCTGCTCAATATCCTGCTGCTCTGGGCATACCTTCCATGATGGACCCAACTCTCATTTCTACAGATGCATCAGTTGCACAGAGTGGGTCTTGGTTAGTGAAGAGCATCTTAGAACCTTTACTGACATTTTTGGATTCGAGCCTCCTGATCAAAGCCAGGGATACAGAGACAGATCAGTATGAAAGTGCCACTCCTGGTCACTTCTGGTTCAAGGTGGCTGACCAAGTGTAAATATTTGTCTGTACTTTCTGAGACCCTATTAGGATAATTATAAATGAGTAAATCAGAACAGGAAGGAAACCATTGTGGTGCAGGGAGTATCAGCCAATGAGAGAGACCAGTAATTTTCTGGAGTGAGTACAGAGGAAGAAAGGGTGTTAGTGGGTGAACCTCGCACTATACATAGGACAGGTCTCTATCCTATGTTGACGGCCTGTCTACGCATTAGATCCAGAGAGGCTGCAGCCGTGGCTGGTCCAGCAGTTATGGAGGGTGCAAAAGTGAGAAATGGGGCTGAAAACAGGGAGGGCATGTTAAGTGATGGTTGATATGTAGAAGAGTTGACTTTCCATCCTACCCCCACTCCTACATGCTTCAGGCATGCAGAATAACAAGCCACTAGACATCTTCTCTAAAGAACTGTATAAACTGCTTGAGAGAGAGTGTGGGTAGCATAGTTCCCCAGACAAAAGCCTGACTTCTGGCATTTTTCCAAACGCAACGGCTAGCCTAACTTCTCTCCCACCATCCACCCAAACACTCCCACTGTTTTTCCAATCAGCCCTTTTTACCTTATTCTTAAATATGAATGAACAACCAAGGAACTCTGAGACTGAGGGGAAATGCAGTACATGAAAAAAATAATAAATAAACCCACAGAATAACTGACATAGAAGAAAATAAACTATTCAGGGAATAGAAATGATTATAAAAAACAACTTAAACTCTATGTAATCAACATAAGGTGATTTAAGAATATATCCCATCCACTATAAAATGATTGGGATTTTATTTTATTTTTTTTTAAAGGAAAGATCCAGAGAATAAGCAAAGGGCTCTCGAAAATTAATAATATGGTTGCGGAGCCAAAAATTTAGTAGAAGTATTAGAAGGTCAGTGTACAAAATCTCCCAGTGAGCAGAAACAAAAGGCAAATAGAAAAGAGAGGTAAAGGATGACTCTACAAGGTCTTATATCCAAGTTGTAGGAATATCAGAAAAAGTACACAGGGAAAATGAAGAAGAAATTATAAGAGATATAATGGAATAAAAATTCCCAGAATTAAAGAGATTTTTAAATCTAAAGGACCCACCAACTTACAAGCAGGATAAACTCCAAATATCCTAGATACATCATTTCAAAATGTCACTACTCCTAAAGCTATGGAGAATTCTAAATGCTTTGAGAATAGGAAATACACGGTGGTGATATTGGGGGATATATGTCAGCTTAGAACAGAATTAGCCATGCTGTGTAGTCCCTTAGACTCCTTATTAGCAAGAGTGGACGCTAGTATATGGTGAAATACAGCCTTCGAAGTTCTGAAAGAAAGTGATTTTGAAACTAGAATTTTATACTTAGCCTAACAGTCTAGTATGAGGTCGACATATTTTTTCAGACAAGCAAGGACCCAGAAATTTTACCTCCCTAGTAACTCCTCCAAGGAAATTACCTGAGATGCCCTCCAACAAAACAAAGTTGACAACCAGAAGGAGCAAAATATGAGATGCAAGAAACTGTGGAACTTACTCCCAGAAGTCTAACGGCAAGAAATTCTTGGCTTACAACTGTGCGGCCCATCGCAAAAACAGTCAATCAATTTAGAACAGGAGATTAATGGATTTCAAGCAATAGACAGAATGACAAGAAAGTAGCAGATATTCAGGATGCAATAGATGGAATATGTTTCTTCTATGGATAAGAAAAGATAAAGACAATAAAAAACTCCCAGAGAAATGGAAATGTGGTCAATATGTCATAGTTCAAATAGAAAACAAATTAAAATGCAGTGGGATTTTAAGCAAGAAGAAGAATAGAAGAGATGGACCTTGACATTAGAAATATTCTCCCTTAAGTAAAAGTTGAGTATTCTAGGAGTTTAACTTGGAACCTGTGGAGGAGGGTATGTAATCATGACCCTTGCATTGGCTCTACTGTGAACAATAATCACGTAGCCATAATAACATTAGCACTGTTTAGTGGTTTTCAGTATTTACAGCCAAGCCCAAACTAGAGCTATGGTTACAGTAGAAAGTGTAAGTGTCATTTAAATTTGACTGTATAGAGGTAAAAATAGAACTACAGAAGTTCTCTCAATATCTTTTACATTGGTGAGCCAAGAGATCCTGTTAAAACTTGATGAAACAAGAAATAGCTGTTTGTTACTTAAAATTGCAGAGGTCACCAGTAGAGCACTGCTTCTTAAAGTGTAATCACTGAATCAGAAGCATCAGCCTCTCTTGGGGTCTTGTGAGAAATGATGGTCTAGGGGCACCACTCCAGACTCATCGAATCAGATGCTCATGGGTTGGGTCCCAACGATCTGTGTTTAACACGCGGACCAGGTGATTCCGATGCCACTAACATTTGAGAACCACTGTAGTAGAGGAGCTAAGAATAACAATTTGCTTATCGAAGTTATGAAAGTGGATGGGTCTGTGTTTTAACACGCTGACCAGTTGATTCTGATGCCACTAACATTTGAAAACCACTGTAGTAGAGGAGCTAAGAGTAACAATTTGCTTATCGAAGTTATGAAAGTGGATGGATGGTAGGGGGGCCCTTATGTAAATGAGATAAATTCTAGTCTATCATGGCAGGAATTCAGTAAGATGACATCTAAATCTTATCAATCAAGAAGTGGTAGCATCGGCCTCTTCTCTAGAGATATGAAATAATCATCAAAAGAAACATAAATGGACATGGATAATAGCGGTTGTCCCTGGAAGGCAGGACTCAGAGGGAGGTGTGATGCAGGAGGTCATTATTTTTTTAACCATATGATTCTTTGGTTGAAGTTAAAATGAAAGGAAAAAAAAATTGTC